ATGGGTCTCTGTGTGAGTCTATGGGTCTCTGTGTGAGTCTATGGGTCTCTGTGTGAGTCTATGGGTCTCTGTGTGAGTCTATGGGTCTCTGTGTGAGTCTATGGGGTCTCTGTGTGAGTCTATGGGTCTCTGTGTGAGTCTATGGGTCTCTGTGTGAGTCTATGGGTCTCTGTGTGAGTCTATGGGTCTCTGTGTGAGTCTATGGGTCTCTGTGTGAGTCTATGGGTCTCTGTGTGAGTCTATGGGTCTCTGTGTGAGTCTATGGGTCTCTGTGTGAGTCTATGGGTCTCTGTGTGAGTCTATGGGTCTCTGTGTGAGTCTATGGGTCCTCTGTGTGAGTCTATGGGTCTCTGTGTGAGTCTATGGGTCTCTGTGTGAGTCTATGGGTCTCTGTGTGAGTCTATGGGTCTCTGTGTGAGTCTATGGGTCTCTGTGTGAGTCTATGGGTCTCTGTGTGAGTCTATGGGTCTCTGTGTGGTCGGTCATGGGTCTCTGTGTGAGTCTATGGGTCTCTGTGTGAGTCTATGGGTCTCTGTGTGAGTCTATGGGTCTCTGTGTGAGTCTATGGGTCTCTGTGTGAGTCTATGGGTCTCTGTGTGAGTCTATGGGTCTCTGTGTGAGTCTATGGGTCTCTGTGTGAGTCTATGGGTCTCTGTGTGAGTCTATGGGTCTCTGTGTGAGTCTATGGGTCTCTGTGTGAGTCTATGGGTCTCTGTGTGAGTCTATGGGTCTCTGTGTGAGTCTATGGGTCTCTGTGTGAGTCTATGGGTCTCTGTGTGAGTCTATGGGTCTCTGTGTGAGTCTATGGGTCTCTGTGTGAGTCTATGGGTCTCTGTGTGAGTCTATGGGTCTCTGTGTGAGTCTATGGGTCTCTGTGTGAGTCTAGGGTCTCTGTGGTCTCTGTGTGAGTCTATGGGTCTCTGTGTGAGTCTATGGGTCTCTGTGTGAGTCTATGGGTCTCTGTGTGAGTCTATGGGTCTCTGTGTGAGTCTATGGGTCTCTGTGTGAGTCTATGGGTCTCTGTGTGAGTCTATGGGTCTCTGTGTGAGTCTATGGGTCTCTGTGTGAGTCTATGGGTCTCTGTGTGAGTCTATGGGTCTCTGTGTGAGTCTATGGGTCTCTGTGTGAGTCTATGGGTCTCTGTGTGAGTCTATGGGTCTCTGTGTGAGTCTATGGGTCTCTGTGTGAGTCTATGGGTCTCTGTGTGAGTCTATGGGTCTCTGTGTGAGTCTATGGGTCTCTGTGTGAGTCTACATATGTATGAATTTTGAATTATTTCGCACCGTACAACAAACTAAAGACAAAAATCACGCTGGTCAGTGATGGTTTGTGAAGGCAGGGAGCTTATATTTTTGAGCAGAGTACAGTACAATGGATTTTTATATTCTTTGTTTTTTTCGGTAAAGTCACGTAGGTAAAACATTAAAATTAATAAAAATAAACTAAAAAAATCACGACGTTTCGGAGGCAACACAAGCTTCCGTCTTCAGGTGGAACCGTCACAGCCACGACAGCTGTATCAAGTAAATGAGAGATTACAAGAAATACTACTACGTATATATAATGGTTGGAGAGAGGAAGGGCCAAGGCACACTTTTTATTTAATATGGTAAGAATAGACTGCATAACAAAGGCTCAGCCTTTGTTATGCAGTCTATTCTTAGTCTTAAGCCTCACCTTACCATCTCTCATTTACTTGATACAGCTGTCAACTTGATACAGCTACCAACTTGATACAGCTATCAACTTGATACAGCTATCAACTTGATACAGCTATCAACTTGATACAGCTATCAACTTGATACAGCTATCAACTTGATACAGCTGTCAACTTGATACAGCTGTCAACTTGATACAGCTGTCAACTTGATACAGCTATCAACTTGATACAGCTGTCAACTTGATACAGCTATCAACTTGATACAGCTATCAACTTGATACAGCTATCAACTTGATACAGCTATCAACTTGATACAGCTATCAACTTGATACAGCTATCAACTTGATACAGCTATCAACTTGATACAGCTATCAACTTGATACAGCTATCAACTTGATACAGCTATCAACTTGATACAGCTATCAACTTGATACAGCTATCAACTTGATACAGCTATCAACTTGATACAGCTATCAACTTGATACAGCTATCAACTTGATACAGCTATCAACTTGATACAGCTATCAACTTGATACAGCTATCAACTTGATACAGCTATCAACTTGATACAGCTATCAACTTGATACAGCTATCAACTTGATACAGCTATCAACTTGATACAGCTATCAACTTGATACAGCTATCAACTTGATACAGCTATCAACTTGATACAGCTGTCAACTTGATACAGCTGTCAACTTGATACAGCTATCAACTTGATACAGCTGTCAACTTGATACAGCTATCAACTTGATACAGCTGTCGTGGCTGTGACGGTTCCACCTGAAGACGGAAGCTTGTGTTGCCTCCGAAACGTCGTGATTTTTATTTTATTTTACTTTTATTAATTTTTATGTTTTACCTACATGGTGACTTTACCGAAAAAACCTAAGAATTTGAATCCTTGCAGTCACGAAAGCTTCAAATCTAGAAACAATGGATTTTGCTGCAACGCCCTCTTGAGAAGGTCCATCTCGAATAACGATTATTAATAAAGCTTATGGCGAAATGAGCACGTGGAAAAATTGTTCTTGTTATTTTGAAGTTCAATCGCAAATCTCTCTCGATTCCCTTCATCACTCCGTGAGTGCCTACACAAGGAGAAGCCCCATCGCCACCACCACCAGCAGCTGCATGGGCAATGACACGTGGGAGGTCGGCGCAGACGACAACTTCTGTGGATAAACAGAACGCACCATGGGGCGGGGAGGGGGTGGGGGTTAAACGATCATCATAACGCTCGTCACCTTCATCAGCTCCGTCATCCACAGGCTCTGCGTAATACATGGCGCTTGAATTTCGAATTAAAGCTTTCGTGACTGCAGGGATTCATCTTCTTGGTTCTTTCGGTAAAGTCACGTAGAAGGGAAGTAATAAAATAATAAAAATAAAACATAATAAAATAAAAGAATATAAAATAATATAATATAATAAAATAATATAATATATTATTTTATTTTATTATTTAGAGGACGTTTCGATTTAAATCTTTCGTGACTGCAGGAATTCATATTCTTGGTTCTTTCGGTAAAGTCACGTAGAAGGGAAATAATAAAATAATAAAAATTATATATATTATTTTATTATGTTTTATTTTTATTATTTTATTATATTTTATTTTTATTCTTTTATTACTTCCCTTCTACGTGACTTTACCGAAAGAACCAAGAACATGGCGCTTGCATCACCGCCACCAGCAACAGCCGTTGCATTCCCACTGATGGCAGATTGCAGCTATAAAGTGTGCAGGCAGCACGACTGCACTGGGGATTGTAGGACGGAGGAGCACAAGAGCTGAGTTGTACAAAGAGGGGTGGACATTTAACAAGGCGTTCCACATGTGTCATTTCATGCACCGAAGCTCGTTCAAAGCCATGCCGTGCCATTTGCATACCTGTGTAGTGACATAAGAAGGGAGGGGCTGCTGGGGGCTCTGGGATCCCAGGCGAGTCCAGACGCTTAAGCCTCTGGGCGCCAGGCGCTGGGTTCCCAGGGGGTCCAGACGCTTAAGCCTCTGGGCGCCAGGCGTTGAGTTCCCAGGCGCTTAATCCCCTGGGCGCCGCCAACGGTGGGGGGGGGGGGGGGCTGTGTATGCTCTGTGGGATGTCTGGTGGCGCACACGGCCCCACCCCTCGTCGGACCAGGCATAAAAGGAGAGCTCCCTGGACGATCGGGGCCCAGTTGTAACTCAAGACCCAAGACCCACGACCAGCCATCTGAAGACCCTGGGATGCTGTGAGAGCCAGCGGTGGGACTCTGGAACTCCCGACTCTACGATCTTGTGAGGGCGAGCGTAGCCAGAGTAGAGTATCTAGAGTATCTAGGCTGTGTAGCTAGGCTGTGTACCTAGGCTGTAACAGAGTATCAGGACTGTTGGAGTGTTGTATTGTAATAAAGAAGTTACATCTACAAGTGTCTCCGGAACCCGTTACACCTGTACACCCCTTATTAGTGCCGACGTAATACAGAGCAACTCAGACCTTATTGGTCATCCCGTGCCCTTATACATCTCAACGTACATCCTAACGAGTCCCGTGACAAGGGAGAAACACAAACAAATAGACAAAAACATGTTTTACTCAATTTCCTGCACAAGAATACGGGTAAACCGTATGGGTTGACAGGAATGCATGTGATGGGCACTGAAAATAAGAACCTCAGAGACGCACCCAACGGACGCACTGCGTTGTACTTTACTGACGTCGAGATTCAGGTCAGACAACACGGGAGGAGAGAGGTAGCTGTAGATTCTATGCCGCTACGTCAAAATTAGCAGCTTTACCACCTCCAATTAGCATGGTCGGCTTCGTACGGTGCGAAAGTAGTTCGGCATACATATGTAGAAGGGAAGTAATAAAATGATAAAAATAAAACACAATAAAATAATTCTCACGACGTTTCGGCCACAACGCAAGCAGCCGTCCTCAGGTGAAAACCAGGTGTGTCGAGGCGACAGAGTCTGAATGAAACAGCACACGAGCTTGGAGCATATATATAAGCTGGGCGCCTTGACAAAGGAATTTGCATATCAAGAGGAATTTAGCATATTTATGGGAAATGCTGCTGCTGCTGCAGTTGCTGCTGCTGCAGTTGCTGCTGCTGCAGTTGCTGCTGCTGCTGCAGTTGCTGCTGCTGCTGCAGTTGCTGCTGCTGCTGCAGTTGCTGCTGCTGCTGCTGCAGTTGCTGCTGCTGCTGCTGCAGTTGCTGCTGCTGCTGCTGCAGTTGCTGCTGCTGCTGCTGCAGTTGCTGCTGCTGCTGCTGCAGTTGCTGCTGCTGCTGCAGTTGCTGCTGCTGCAGTTGATGCTGCTGCAGTTGCTGCTGCTGCTACTTTCGGACCGTAGCATTTTATTACTTCCCTTCTACGTGACTTTACCGAAAAAACCAAGAAGATGAATCCCTGCAGTCACGAAAGCTTTAAATCGAAACATATGTATGTAGTGGTTTAACGTGCACCAAGGGGGGTAATTGTAAACACGTGCGAGTTGGGGACAGTGTGGTCGTATCGGGACATGCTGCTGTTGCTGGGGGACAACGGCTGGATGGAGACGGCCCGTTAGGCAATTATGGGATGCAGGGCAGTGATTGGCCAGTTGTTGTTGTCAGGGACAAGGTGGCGCCTGTAAGTCTGGGAATGGGAACAGGTGGCGGCGGGGGCTGGGGGCGCGGGGCGTTGGGGAGACGCCAGTTAATTAATTGGAAATTAATAGGGACGGGAATAAATACGGGAGCGTCAGAGTAAGACGTGGAGTTGTGCTGGGAGCTGGACGGAGACGAAGATGTGAGAAGAAGTATCGGGTAGCAGTGGAGTAGAAGAAGAAGTATAGGGTAGCAGTGAAGAAGAATAAGTATAGGGTAGCAGTAGAGACGGAGACGAGGAGGATATGGAAGATAGAATAGGGTAGCAGGGGAGCCGGGGAAGAAGGGGAGATGAAAGGACGGATAGGCTAGCAGTGGAACGGGAACGAGAGAGACAGTCGGAGTGAGATGGAAAAGCCGAGAAAGAGCGACGGCTGGAGTGAGCCGAGACGGGCGAAGCAGAGAGGAGAGTAGGGAGAGAGAGAGACGGAGAGAGAGAGGGAGGAACAGAGCGAGCGAGGCCGGCGGAGCGCGGCGAGCGAGCGGAGAACGAGTGGTGGCGAAATGTGCTGAGTTTGATCAAATAAAGTGACGACAGAAAAAGAACAAGTTGTCCGCGTAAAGTTCAGCACTACACATACATCACCAATGGCAGCAATAATACACCACACATGAAAGGAATACACTTGTACGGGCATGTACATTTGAACTGACCCTGATCACCCCTCAAAGCTTTCTCAGATGTCAGTTCCCGAGTGACCCGCTGTGATGCGAAATATGCTTGAAGAGATGGTAACAACATACCGATGGCGTGTTCTTGATAGCTGGCATCTGAATTGTTTGTGAATACAATCAGGAGTCTTATCTGTCACCCTTCACCATTCATGACTCAACCGCAGTGCAAAGGACTCCAGTAGAAAATCACGTAACATGTCACAATACGTGCAATGTCATTTCAACACGTCCTCTAAATATTCTTGGTTCTTTCGGTAAAGTCACGTAGAAGGGAAGTAATAAAATAAAAAAATTAAATTAAAATAAAACGTAATAATATGTTTTATTTTAGAAGGGAAGTAATAAAATAATAAAAATAAACATAATAAAACAATATATATAATTTTTATTATTTTATTATTTCCCTTCTACGTGACTTTACCGAAAGAACCAAGAAGATGAATTCCTGCAGTCACGAAAGCTTTAAATCGAAACGTCCTCTAAATATCTGCTTATATCAGCAGTGGGGGAGTCCTCAGTATGGCAAGATGTTAACTACATTGCCTGGTATACAGGTGGTCATAGGTTCGATCCCGACCCTGATGCCTGTATATTTGGAGTTTTATCATGTCTCTCTTGCCGTGGTCGCATGGATTTTTTTATGGGTCCTCCCGTTTTGCCCTCCACATTTAGAAGCATGGATTTAGATTATTGAGTATTTGGCTGCAATACATTTCCACATGATAAGCCACTTTACCTATAATTTATGATAGGCTGGTCGCTTCTGATATAGAGTTATGTAGCCCAGGTAGCCTTAACTGGTAAAAAAAAATGATAATATGTTTTCTTAATAAACCTCCCTTATTTCTAGATTTGAAGCTTTCGTGATTGCAATGATTCATATTCTTAGGTTTTTTCGGTAAAGGCACGTAGGTAAAAACAATGAAAAGTAAAATAAAATAATTCTCACGACGTTTCGGAGGCAACACAAGCTTCCGTCTTCAGGTGGTACCGTCACAGCCACGACAGCTGTATCAAGTAAATGAGAGATTTCAGGAGCTACCACTCCGTTCATATAATGGTTGGGGAGGGGGGGGGCAAGGGCCGCATACTTTTTATTAATATGGTAAGGTGAGGCTTGAGACTAAGAATAGACTGCATAACAAAGGCTGAGCCTTTGTTATGGAGAGGTGCGGTTTGTGACTTAACCTGTGACAGGGAGACCACCACTAGACATGGTAAAACTGTGATGGTTGTCTGTCAAATAAGATTGGCAAATAAGTGTAGTTAAATCTCCCTTATTTTTAAGAAGGCCAAATTTGGCCACGCCTTGCAGTATTGTCGATGTTAAAGGCAACTGATAGCACACGGGTAGGACACCATACACCACCGCCACCCTAAGATTGTGATTGCATAACCACGTGGATGATTCGCGTTATCATGTATGCAACGTGTCGTGTCATGCACCGAATGTACAATGCGCGGATTATAGCGGCACAGAAAGACACAGGGCCAGCTGAACCGTGCAACGTTACTCACCGGGCGAGCTGTTGTGGTTGTTTTCTGAGAAATAAACAAAACCCATCAAAATTATCGCTTATTACGGGTGTATCCCTTCATTTGATTACATGACAAACCTTACTAATTTAGCGGCCTGAGAAACGACTGTTTAAGGACGCCTTAGAATTTAAAATTATTAATTACGAAAGGGATGCGTTCTTCACAGCGCACACGTCAAAACTAAATGTCAATCGCAATGGCTTTTTCCATTGAAAGACATACACAATGTCAATCAGAATAACTTTTCCCATTAACAGACAGACGAATTGTCAATCGGAATGGCTTTTCCCATTAACAGACAGACGAAATATATGCAGCTGTGTTTGCTCCGAGCATAGCAGTGCCGTTACATTGTATTTTTGTGGCACTGGTGAGCTGCGGGCACACCAGGGGCACACGAGTGCCACGAAAATTAAATTTTCACGAAAATACAATTTAAAACCAAGGTTGTTGCCTGATCAAGCTGGTTGTTGTCATAATTACCGGCGAAATGTCAATGTACTCGAATTGTAAACGTTGTAGTGGGATTACTCTCCAACACCACACACACAGCAGTTAGTGCTGAACTCAGCTGTTCTAGACTAACTTCAGGGTGCTGATTCCAAGTCTGATCTCAGATTTGCTCCATCACATCTCATTTTTATGCTATCGGCATACCCCATTTTCATTGATTTTACCCGAAATTAACTCTGTCACTTATGATTGCAAGTTGTTGCGAGTCAGTGACTACTTTAGTGTTAAAATATGGTGCTGTATTTTTAGGATAGTGTGTTTATAATATAATTTTATGTACATATCTACATTTATTTAATATTTTTCTTCACCAGTTTTTATTGAAAATGCAATATTTGATAAAAACAATGTTTTACCTTAAAACCGTTGGAATACCTTATGCCAGAAAAAGTGTGTTGATCTGTGATATTTGCACGACTCGAATCATAATTATTCTTAGGTTTTTTCGGTAAAGTCACGTAGGTAAAAAATAATTAAAATTAATAAAAGTAAAATAAAATAAAAATGACGACGTTTCGGAGGCAACACAAGCCTCCGAAACGTCGTGATTTTTATTTATTTTACTTTTATTCATTTTAATTTTTTTTTACCTACCTGGTGACTTTACCGAAAAAACTTAAGAATATGAATCCTTGCAGTCACGAAAGCTTCAAATCTAGAATCGAATCATTATTGTCATTCACAATCGAGTTGGGCTCCCTCTTGCCAGAACAAACCAAGGAAGCTGTATTTGATGAGCTATTTATGACGACTATAACCTCTAATAATATAATAACTAATGTAATTGCCCATCATATGATGGGTTCATAAAAATTGTATTTAATGAAAATGACGAAAAATGTAACGTAGTATTGAATTTATTTAAGCAAACGTTTCTGTGTATATTTTTTATTTGGTGTAAATGGACGATCATCTCCGAAAAAGTTTTCCTTGAGATGAATTTTGTTGAATCGGCACTTTGATATTGGTTGGAATTTTTGCATCTTGACAAAGCAGCATAGTAATAATAATAAAGTTCTTCTTGGTTCTTTCGGTAAAGTCACGTAGAAGGGAAGTAATAAAATAATAAAAATAAAACATAATAAAATAATTCTCACGACGTTTCGGCCACAACCGAAAGAACCAACTGAGGACGGCTGCTTGCGTTGTGGCCGAAACGTCGTGAGAATTATTTTATTATGTTTTATTTTTATTATTTTATTATTTCCCTTCTACGTGACTTTACCGAAAGAACCAAGAAGATGAATCCCTGCAGTCACGAAAGCTTTAAATCGAAAAATAATAAAGTTGTCCATGGGAATAAAACCAGGTTCGTTGATAGAGATAAAGTCCAACGTAGTACTCAAAACATTGTCTTTGTGACTTATTGACCGCGATAGGAAATAGCAGGAATTATTGGTAACCCGTCATCGCTTCAGAATGAATGGTAATTTCACATCAGATGGTGACAGGTCAATTGCTGGGAATGAAGACAATATCTCCACGATGCAATTCTGAAATTGTTTCACCCACAACACAAAGAATTACGGTGCATTTCACGAATCACCAGACACACTTGTGCTATTCCACATAATCCCTTTGTGGGGTTTAAGATTTCGAATCCGCATTTGCAATGGGTTCCCTTTTGTCAGTGGCTTTTCCCATTTACAGACAGATGAAATGTCAATCGGAATGGATTTTTTCCATTAACAGACAGAGGACATATCAATAAGAATGGCTTTTCCCATTAACAGACAGACTCCTTGTATAATAACAGGTTTTACTCTTTCTGAATATGGGAAAAATTCGTTTGGTATACGTCATTTTCGGTATAAGTCCTACCTTCTGGAACGAATTAACGACGTATACCGAGGTTCCACTGTATTTTCGTGGCACTGGTGAGCTGGATGCATACCAGGGGCACACCAGTGCCATGAAAATAGCGGGTTTCCTCTCCAACACACACACACCAGTTAGTGCTGAACTAAGTAACTCATTGGCACATTTTGTTTACGTGACAACCCCTTACTGTTTCGATTTAAAGCTTTCGTGACTGCAGGGATTCATCTTCTTGGTTCTTTCGGTAAAGTCACGTAGAAGGGAAATAATAAAATAATAAAAATTAAACATAATAAAATAATTCTCACGACGTTTCGGCCACAACGCAAGCAGCCGTCCTCAGGTGAAACCAGGTCTGTCGAGGAGACTTGCGTTGTGGCCGAAACGTCGTGAGAATTATTTTATTATGTTTTATTTTTATTATTGTATTACTTCCCTTCTACGTGACTTTACCGAAAGAACCAAGAAGATGAACCCCTTACTGATTGTGAGTGTTGTAGTGGGTTTACTCTCCAAGACACACCGGTTAGTGCTGAACTAAGTAACTGATCACAGGGTGAGTTGAAGCATGCGACGTCTACTCACTGGCGTAGCTGTTGTGGTTGTTATCTGAAAGAGAAATAAAAAAAACATACTCATGAGAATCCTTCTAGATTTGAAGCTTTTGTGACTGCAAGGATTCATATTCTTAGGTTTTTTCGGTAAAGTCACCATGTAGGTAAAACATTAAAATTAATAAAAGTAAAATAAAATAAAAATCACGACGTTTCGGAGGCAACACAAGCTTCCGTCTTCAGGTGGAACCGTCACAGCCACGACAGCCGTATCAAGTAAATGAGAGATTGCAGGAGCTACCACTCTGTATATATAATGGTTGGAGAGGGGGGGGGAAGGGCCAAGTACGACACACTTTTTATTCATATGGTAAGGTGAGGCTTAAGAGGGTGAGAATATGAATACTCATGAGAATCATCATTTCTTATTTGTGCCACACCACACAGAGCGGGATCGACAGCAAGAGCCACTGTTGTACTGTATTATGGTTAAATGTCTATGCTCCCGACCTTCACCAACCGGCACTGACCAGCGTGGTGAAGAGTAGTCAACTAACTCCCATGACCCATAAGGCATGGCGAGGCCCTCTTCCAGCGTTAGATATATACAGTGATACCTCGGTTCACGAACGCTTCTGTTCACGAACAACTCGGTTGACGAACAGAAAAGTTCATAAAAATTTGCTCCGGTTCATGAACTCCGCTTCTGTTCACGAACAGGAGCCGCGGCCATTTTTATGCTATTTCCAGGCTGTCACGTGGTCGTGACTTCCTGTAGGAAGATCGTGGAGAGAAGAAGAGACACAGAAAGAAGTACTGTGCGTACTGTGAAGACACTTGCAGTGACTTTTTGCTTTTTGGTGTGCTTTTTAGCACATACAGTACTGTACTGTACTACTGTACTGTACTGTACAATACTGTACTTACTGTATTGTACAGTTCACCCGTTTGAGTGCTTACTGAAGTCATCTCAAACAAGGTTAGTGTTCTCTCTTTATACATTACTATACTGTACAGTACTAATGTTTATTGTAATTTGTTTCATATTTTTGTGCTTCAAAAACCAAAAAAAAAGGTCAGAACGGATTAACCGGATTTACATTGAACCCTGTGGGGAAATGTGCCTCGGTTCACGACCAATTCGGTTCGCGACCAGAGTCAGTTCACGAATTAAGTTCGTGAACCGAGGTATCACTGTATATATGTTACCAAGGCCGTAGCCATGGAGTCAACATTGGGGGGGACCAAATCTTGCAGGGGGTCTGGGGGTCCCCCCCCCCAGAAAAAAATATAAATTTGAAACGAATTTCCTGCTTAAAATATAGAAAAATCCACTAACACATGGGATTGACTTTTTTTACAATATTATCTAATAGTGTATTGTATTACATTTATCTGTTTTTTTTTACCTTTTCTTGTTTCATTGCATGTAATGGCAGACATTAGGGATTAATAAAGTACAACTATAACCACAATCATATCAACAGAAATCTATTTTATAGCAATATATCGGGGGGACATTTTGTATGTTACATACGTCTTTGAGAAAAGACACTGCTCACATAGAGAGATAGACGAACATTGTCCATCGACTATCATAGTGTAGTGGGTTCGAATTAGGTGCACACACACGCAGCTTGGAGGCAACACTATTTATTAAACGGTAAGTAACATAACGCTGTACATGAGGTGGTGACCACCTTCCTCAACTCACTAACACTCTGGAACGCGACACAGACTGGACCAGGCAGGCAACGGCCTGCCTGGCCCAGGACGACGACCCATCATGTCTTCACTTCGGAGTACAGTACAACAGCCTCGCTCTGCGTTCACACCACGCTTATATCTGCTTTGGCGTGGCCGGCTCTGCCCCGGCGTGGCTGGCTCTCTCCAGGCCACGCCTCCCTTCCCAGGGCACGCCTCACTTCCCCCACCTCTGGGAAGGTCCAGATCCCTCCACCACGTGACCCCCCAGGCACCCCCTTGGGGCCCCAGCCTTCGTACAGGCCGACACAGTAGTGACCGTTTTATGTCACTACACATATATAGATGCCCTTCTGCGGCCGTCTGAAACGCTCTTCCTTCCCATATTATGAAGCCACTGGGAGCTATGCCCTTTTAAATCATCATCTAGATTGAAAATTCACGTCTTTAGAACTACTTTTTGCGCTTAGTTTGTTCTTTTCCCGCACCTCCGATTAGCGGGGTTGTCTAAGTACGGTACGAAAGAAGTCCAATAAACATACGTACATAGACTAGTTGGACACTCATGCTTTTGCGACCAATATTATCCATAAGAGGTTTTTGGGTTAGGTCGCGTAAGTATAAATGTGTCGTTAAACCCCCCAACACCCGACACAGCCAATTAGTAAGGTTTGTCACGTAAACCAAACAGAGCAATTCGTTACGACTACAGCACACCGGAATGTTGGAGAGTAAACCCACTGAAGCATTATCAATTCGAGTACTATGACGTTTCGCCAGTAATTACAACAACAACCAGCATTATCAGGCGACAGCCAGATTATTTGAATAATCCTCCTCCTGTTTCGGTCTTAAATACAGTAGAACCTCGTAGATCGAACGCCCCAGAACTCGAACAATTCGGTGATCGAACTAAATTTTCGACCATTTTTTGCCTCGGACATCGAACAAAAATTCGGAGGTCGAACAACTGGAAAGAACCTGTTTGGGCCGAGACGCATAACCAGGGCGACCCAGACAAAGACGAATGATCCAGTTTACGCATAGCTCTCGCCCATTGCAGACCCGCAAAACATCTTGATCAGTTTTTAGTAAAAAAAAGGCAAAGAAAAGAAAGAACCCTAGAAGGGCAGTTACCCAACGTTTTTATGGAGGGGGACTCTCCTTCCAAGCAACACTGACACCTCCTCCTCCCCTCCTCACCACCTTCCACTCAAGCCATACACTCTCCTTACTACATTGCCCGATGATGCTGGATGCAATTACCAGCGAAACGTCGTACAACTCAAATCGTAAATGTTGTGGTTTCACGCTTCAACACACCGGTGGGCTAAAGCAGTGAACTATTTGTCTTTTGTCAACGTGTGGTGGAGGGTTACGACACATTTATAAATAACGCGATCTAAACCCAAAAACGTTGATTATGAAGATCAATGTTCATTTATTCTATTAATTATAACTGTGCTCATTGTTTTTTGTACGCTTTTATGTACTGTATTTTAATATTGTAAACTGTGTAAAAATGGCCAATAATAGGAGCATCCTTGGGTGGGGAACCAATTAACGCTATTTCCATTAATTCTTATGGGGAAAATTGATTCGGTGTTCGAACAAATCGGTGTTCGAACACGGTTTTGGAACGAATTAAGTTCGATCTCCGAGGTACCACTTTATAGGGCGGGGGATAAATGTGATGTTGTCACCTGTGATCCAATCAGGTGCGAATATCAATGGTCATCTCTGGACAGAAAAAATAAGCTGCTGCCTGAAACAAGAAGATTTCTCCACAAATCTGGCTGTCATCTGATGATACTAGTTGCAATTACTGGTGAAATGTCACGGCTCTAAAATTGTCAATGTTATAGTGAGTTTACACTTTCCACACACCGATATGCTGTACTAGTAACGAATTGGCATGTTTCGTTTACATGACAAAACTTACTAATTGGCTGTGGCGGGTTAAACGTAGATTTTCCTCTGGGTCCTCCGGTTTTCCCCTCCACATTTAGAACGAACGTTACGTGTTTGGAGTATTTGTCTGCTTTAAATGTCTGCGTGATAAGCCACTACTTCGTCGAACTATCATTCGTGATGGCAAAGTCGCTTCTGAAAAAAAAGCTACATAGTTCAGTGGGGCCTTACCTGGTATAAGTATAACCCGTAAAAACAAAGTTTTTCACTATAAATCCTTTATATGCGTGGCGGCTAGAGTCCTCTCGTCCTCTGGCTTGAGATGGCTGCCACCTATGGGTCAGATGATTGTCTGCCAGTATTAAGCAATTGGTAATTAAATATAAAAAAAATTCCCTAAACAGTGTAAAATTTTGGACATTTTTTTCACGAACATTAATTGTCTCGCACAACGAGTCTGTGTGCAAAATGTCAGCTCGATTGGATCACGGGAAGTGGATTAAAAAACGACCGAAAGATTTGCACGGTCGTAAGCAAGCAAGCAAGCATGCAAGCACGCAAGCAAGCAAGCAAGCGAACTTAATATAAAGGATTTAAAAAATAAAATAGTTCTTAGTCTAAGAGTTATGCATAATCAGTTGCCGCATGCACTTTTTGTGCGGGGAGACAACCATCGGCCTCGGAAAGTGCCGGGCATGTGGTGTCCGTGCGCAACGCGATGGTGCTTACGTCGTTGGGAAACTGGATGTCAGTCGTGGAGGTGATCCAGCGCTTGAATGCAGATACGCGCGTGAACACGGACGGCTTCATGGAGGTGTTACAGATTTCCGGGCCGAAGCTGGTGATGCCGTAGACCATCCACTTCGTGTCTGTCCGACAGTTGAGCGGCCCTCCCGAGTCGCCCTGGATGTAACGATTTAGGCACACGGGATTGTGTCAGGTTATTTCTTTTTTGTCGTCCGAAATTTTGCACTCTGACACGTGTGTTTGAGAACAAGTCGAAAGGATGGGATGCCGACATTAAATGTTGCGATGTGATTTGCGATCCAATGCGAAAATTACAAACCAGCAAAGTGTGACGGCACTCCAGCACACATTATGCATATTAACACGTAGACCTGTCGGGTGGTCTTCTTGGTTCTTTCGGTAAAGTCATCACGTAGAAGGGAAATAATAAAATAATAAAAATTAAACATAATAAAATACAATTCTCACGACGTTTCGGCCACAACGCAAGCAGCCGTCCTCAGGTGAAGAACATGTCTGTCGGAAAGACAGCGTCTGAATGAGCACCACCAGGCTTGGTAGCGTATATTTAAGCTGCTGGGTTAGAGGAGGAAGGGCGCCTTGACAAAGGAATTTTGCATATCAACAGAGGAATTTAGCATATTTATGGAAAATGCAGATATGGGATTAGTCACTACTTGTGGAATGCGTAGGAGGTGGGGGGGGGGGGTCTCAAAGTCATATTATGGCTGCTGCAGCTCCTTACTATTAAAATTCCTTCCCTTTATTACTGCTAACCCTACTTCCTCCCTTTGTTGCTGCTAATCCTACATAATGCACGAGCATAATATGACTTTGAGACCCCCCTCACCTCCTACGCATTCCACAAGTAGTGACTAATCCCATATCTGCATTTTCCATAAATATGATAAATTTCTCTGTTGATATGCAAATCAATTTGTCAAGGCACCATTCCCCCTCTAACCCAGCTTAAATATACGCTGCCAAGCCTGGTGGTGTTCATTCAGACGCTGTCTTTCCGACAGACCTGTTTTTCACCTGAAGACGGCTGCTTGCGTTGTGGCCGAAACGTCGTGAGAATTGTATTTTATTATGTTTAATTTTTATTATTTTATTATTTCCCTTCTACGTGACTTTACCGAAAGAACCAATAAGATGAATCCCTGCAGTCACGAAAGCTTTAAATCGAAATCTATCGGGTGGTCTTCGCACCTGTGATGACATCACCTTTATTCCTCTATTTAAGACCTAAAGACAGGAAGACGTCTTTATAATTCTGGCAAAAATCGCATGACGAGGCTGGTTGTAGTTGTTGCAATCACCAGAGAAACGTCTAGGTACTCGAATTGTAAATGTTGTCGATTTACTCTCCAACACACAACTGGTGTGCTGAAGTAACCAATCGATACGTTTTGGATCAAGTGACAAACCCTTCCGAATTGGGCTGTGTGTCGGGGTGGTGGCATGTTTAAAGACACATTTATATGTACGGGATCTGACCCACACAAAAATATTGTTATGAATAAGCACATTTTATTTAAACGGGGGAAGCAGGTATAGGTGTCTAAGCGAGTATGTGATTCTTCGTGTGAGTCTTGTGGTTATGCGATTTCATTGTTCCTCCGCATGATTGTAGAGGTGTCTGAGAGTTCCTTTAGTCTGGGAAGGAAAGTAGAAAAGGATCTCGGTGATTCATTCTCAGCATCTGATGATCGATGTCAATTCTCCAACGGAAAAAAAATAACTTCCCGTTGTAGCATTCAAAGGGTGAAATATGTTGCGCTCTTTTTTGTGCCGTACGTAGCCAGCCATGCTAATCGGAGGTGCGCGGAAGCGGTGTGGGAAATATGTGTTTTTAAATCCTTTATATTAAGTTCGCTTGCGTGCTTGCTTGCTTATGACCGTGCAAATCTTTCGGTCGTTTTTTAACCCACTTCCCGTGATCCAATCGAGCTGACATTTTGCACACAGACTCTTTGTGCGAGACAATTAATGTTCGTGAAATTTTTTTCCAAAATTTTACACTGTTTATGGAAAACAAATTAAATATTTAATTACCAATTGCTTAATGGTGGCAGGCAATCATCTGACCCATAGGTGGCAGCCATCTCAAGCCAGAGGACGAGAGGACTCTAGCCGCCACGCATATAAAGGATTTATAGTGAAAAACTTTGTTTTTACGGGTTATACTTATTTATAGACACCAAAATGTGGCATTGTGTACACAAGATTGGTGCACTTAGCACGCTGTGTAGGACGCATATCACCACTCCGTGTAAGCAGTGCACCTGGAATTTTTTAAAAAGATTAAATAAATAGTCTTAATAGTGGCCGTGTTATAAAGAAGGTTCAGATGTGCATTTGCATTACACCATGTGCGATGCGAGGCACAATGGGAGGTCCATTCATACTATCACAATCTCACCTTGTCCTGTCTAAAAAAAATTCCGCATGCAGTTTAATTATTTCTCACATTTGTGTTTCCAACTTGCGTGCACTTTTACGTTAGACGGTTTTACCATCACCGCACAGGAAGCGTTACAATTGCAGGGCTCTGTGTTACCGTGATACCGCATGCATGCATGTGTAGTGACAAAAGAAGGGAGGGGCTGCTGGGGGCTCTGGGACCCTGGGTGGGCCAGGCGCTTAAGCCTCTTGGCACCAGGCGTTGGGTTCCCAGGCGGGTCCAGACGCTTAAGCCTCTTGGCGCCAGGGTTGGGTTCCCGGGCGCTTAAGCCCCTTGGCGCCGCCAAAGGGGGGGGGGGGCTGTGTGTGCTCTGTGGGATATCTGGGGGCACACACGGCCCCACCCCTCGTTGGGGATTAGTCATAAAGGGGGAGCTCCCTGGACGATCAGGCCGAGTCGCAGCTCAAGACCCAAGACCCAAGACCAGCCATCGGAGGACCCTGGGACGCTGTGAGAGCCGGTGGTGGGACTCTGGAACTCCCGACTCTACGACCTTGTGAGGGTGAGTTCCAGAGCGTAGCCAGAGTAGAGTATCTAGGCTGTGTACCTAGGCTGTGTACCTAGGCTGTAACAGAGTATCAGGAGTGTTGGAGAGTTGGAGAGTTGGAGAGTTGGAGTGTTGGAGTGTTGGAGTGCTGTTGGAGTGGAATAAAGAAGTTACCTCTACAAGTGTCTCCGGAACCCGTTACACATGCATGTTTGCACGCTCACGCACCTGGCAGGTAGAGTGCTGAGCATCGCCGGCACACACCATGTTTTCCGTCACGAGAGAGCCCCACCATTGTTTCCTGCTACAGGTGTCATAACTGAGGACGGGCAGAGCGACCTGCTGCAGAACTCGCGGGAGAGTGCCGTTGGCTGAGAAAGACACAGTGGGGGGTGGGAGGGCAGACAATCAGATGTGTCGTGGTATATGAAACTCCATAACAGCGGTGGGGAAGCTACACACCTTGGGCTGGATAGGGCCAGCGACTTAACGTCACGTGACTTGCAGGCCACATGAAGGATGCCAATTTTGAAACGGCCCAGTAAAAAAAATTCGTCCATCCATTGCAAGCATCTTAATTGGTAACACTTTATATAAGTAGGGTTTTACCCTTTTAAACTGGTACAAAACTGACACCTTTATTCAAGGCATCATGGTTGCAATAACCACAACACAAGTAGTCAAAAAAGCAAACAAAAAGAAGCAACTCTGATAATGATAATAATATGCACTGTCCTTGAAGTTGATTGGTCCACACCCGAGACGGCTTTCTAGGCTCTAAAGAAAGCTGTCTCGGGTGTGGACCAATCAACTTCAAGGACAGTGCATATTATTATCATTATCAGAGTTGCTTCTTTTTGTTTGCTTTTTTGACTACTTGTGTTGTGCACCTGGAATTACAAACGAGTAAGGTTCTAGAGGTCTGTTCGTTAGTCAATTTGTTTGTAAGTTCAAGTTTACTCTTGTTGATTCCAAACACGTTGTATGGGATGTACACTAAACACGGGGAATGACTTTAAAAGTTGTATAATCTCCTGTGGATGTAGATGCCACTGGTTCTTCACATTCTGCAAATGTAGATGCCACTGGTTCTTCATGTTTTGCAGAAGTAGATGCCACCACCGCCATCTATTGCCCGGCAGTTGAACTTACAACTCTCGGTCTGAACAGCTGCAATGGCACAACTGAGTCAACACATGGTCCGGCGATAACCTCTTGACCACATCTCATGAGAGAAAGCCTTCTCCCAGAGGTCGCAACCGGGTACCCGATACCCGTACCCTACCCGATACCCGGCTACCCGTTTGCGACCCTGGTGCGGCCGGGTACGGGTACGGGTAGGCCGTGAGTCATCGGTGAGTAACCGTTTTGTCACTCATTTCGGGTAGGGTACGGGTAACGTACGGGTACCCGTACCCGGCCGGGTACGGGTACCCGGCCGGGTATGGTTACGGGTACCCGTTTGCGACCCTGGTGCGGCCGGGTACGGGTACGGGTAAGGAATCAAAACCCGTTTGCGACCTCTGCCTTCTCCACACCACCCCCTCCCCTTTGGCCCTGCTGATGTTACCACCATTTACCGGATGGACACTGCAGTTTGTAGGGTGTGATGATGTTTTCCCGCACTCACTGTAAAGCCTCCCCCAACCGGTAGCGTAGCAAGACTGCCAACTCTGCAGGAGCCAGTCAGCACCGGGCAGTGCAGCCACCTGTACGGTGTTGCTCAGTGACACTGGGGCAGCGAGCTTAATCAACGCGATGTCAAACCTGAAAAAGAGTCAATGCGGTGGCATGCCATGCAATTACACAATTGGGATGTATCTATGTATGTACGTTTAACTTTTTCGCACCGTACGTAGGACAACAAACTATTGGTTTATGTGTGAGTTTATGGGTATTTGTGCGAGTCTGTGAGTCTCTGAGTGGGTCTATGGGTCTCTGAGTGAGTCTATGGGTCTCTGAGTGGGTCTATGGGTATCTGTGTGAGTCTATGGGTATCTGTGTGAGTCTATGGGTATCTGTGTGAGTGTATGGGTCTCTGTGTGAGTCTATGGGTTTCTGTGTGAGTCTGTGGGTCTCTGTGTGAGTCTGTGGGTCTCTGAGTGGGTCTATGGGTCTCTATGTGAGTCTATGGGTCTCTGTGTGAGTCTATGGGTCTATGTGTGAGTCTATGGGTCTATGTGTGAGTCTATGGGTCTCTGTGTGAGTCTGTGGGTCTCTGAGTGAGTCTATGGGTCTCTGAGTGAGTCTATGGGTCTCTGTGTGAGTATGTGGGTCTCTGTGTGAGTCTATGGGTATTTGTGCGAGTCTGTGGGTCTCTGAGTGAGTCTATGGGTCTCTGTGTGAGTCGATGTATGTTGAACTTCTTTCACACCATACGCATCCAACCGTGCTAATCGTAGGTGCGGCGGGAAGGACACCAAACGAAATACTGCCTGATGCTGCTGTTTATTTCTAGTAGCAGGATGCCAGAACCAATGGTTAAATGTCGTGGATGGATCTCCAGAATACCAGTGCGCTGAAGCAGTAAAGATGGGCACGTTTGCTCACGTACCAGCTTAATTAATTCGCTGTGTTTGGTCGGTGAGATTGTATACGACAAACGTTGTATGCACACACCATGTGACCCACAATATCAATAATGAATATTGGAAAGTGTTACATCATCCATGCATATTTATCTTGTATTAGCTCCCCCAATTGTATGCCAATTCATAATCTTAATTCTTTCGGTAAAGTCACCACGTAGGTAAAAAATGAAATTCTAATTAATAAAAATAAACAATAAAAATCACGACGTTTCGGAGGCAACACAAGTCTCCGTCATCAGGTGGGACCGTCACAGCCAGATTTGCTGCATCAGCATCAGCAAATCTGGCTGTGACGGTCCCACCTGATGACGGAGACTTGTGTTGCCTCCGGAACGTCGTGATTTTTAAATCCTTTATATTAAGTTCACTTGCTTGCTTGCTTGCTTAAGACCGTGCAAATCTTTCGGTCGTTTTTTAACCAACTTCCCGTGATCCAATCGATCTGACATTTTCCACACAGACTCGTTGTGCGTGGCAATTAATGTTCGTGAAAAAATGTTTCCAAAATTGTACACTTTTTAGGACAAAAATATTATATTTAATTACCAATTGCTTAATGGTGCAATGCAATCATCTGACCCATAGGTGGCAGCCATCTCAAGCCAGAGGACGAGAGGACTCTAGCCGCCACGCATATAAAGGATTTATAGTGAAAAACTTTGTTTTTACTGGTTATACTTATTATTGTTTTATTTTTATTAATTTTAATTTCCATGTTTTACCTACATGGTGACTTTACCGAAAGAACTAAGAGTATGAATCCTTGCAGTCACGAAAGCTTCAAATCTAGAATGTATCCCAATTGTTAATTATGCTTTCTGTATTTTCAGAGCAAACATTCTCGTTTGTAATTGGCTGAGGGATGTCACCGTGGCGAGATGTTAAATGTCTCGCCAGGTACACAGGAGATCGTGGGTTCGATCCTGACCCTGACGTCTGCTGTATATGTGGAGATTGCGTGTCTCTCTCCGCGTGGTCGCGTGGATTTTTATCTGGGGTTCTCCGGTTTTTCCCTCCACATTTAGAATCAACTTCATGCGTTGAGAGTATCTGGCTGATATGAATTTCCACACGATGATGATGATAAGACACTTTAGTAGTAGTTTTTTACCCTTTTAAACTGGTACAAAACTGACACCTTTATTCAAGGAATCATGTTTGCAATAACCACAACACAAGTAGTCAAAAAAGCAAACAAAAAGAAGCAACTCTGATAATGATAATAATATGCACTGTCCTTGAAGTTGATTGGTCCACACCCGAGACGGCTTTCTTTAGAGCCTAGTCTCCATTGGTGTTGGACCAGATGACACCAGAAGGCGCACAACTCATAAGACACTTTGTTAAACTATCATTTGTGATAGGTCACTGCATCAAATATAGCTACCTTGCTCAGTGGGCGTTATCTGGTAAATAAAAACAATTGTTTTTGTTTTGTTTATTCATTCAGATATCACAACACAAGCAGCGACACCACTCTGCATTTGGATTAATGTTCAGTTCTTTTTTCAAATCTCAAATCTGGAATAATCCAAATTAAGTGCAATCCCAAATTCTAGATTTGAAGCTTTCGTGACTGCAAAGATTCATATTCTTAGGTTTTTCGGTTAAGTCACGTAAGTAAAACATCAAAATAAAAATAAAATAAAATAAAAATCACGACGTTTCGGAGGCAACACAAGTCTTTTACTTACGTGACTTAACCGAAAAACCTAAGAATATGCAATCCCAAACTTGAGAAAATTAAGTGTGTGTGTGTTTAAAATCACTGGTGACAAAAGCTGAGACCCCTCCCATCACCAGATGTTTTTTTTTTAATCCTTTATATTAAGTTCGCTTGCTTGCTTAGGACCGTGCAAATCTTTCGGTCGTTTTTTTAATCCACTTCCCGTGATCCAATCGAGCTGATATTTTGCACACAGACTCGTTGTGCGTGACAATGCATTTTCGTGAAAAATAATTTCCAAAATTTTACACTGTTTAGGGAAATTTGTTTAAATATTTAATTACCAATTGTTTAATGCTGCCAGACAATCATCTGACCCATCGGTGGCAGCCATCTCAAGCCAGAGGACGAGAGGACTCTAGCCGCCCCGATGCCACGCATATAAAGGATTTATAGTGAAAAACTTTGTTTTTACGGATTAATTTTTATCACGTTTAATCACCGGTTGAAACCTCATAATTAAATCCAGGATCTTCACCCGACCACTACTGAGCGTGACAGTACTTACCCGTGTTCTGGGAAGTCTGGATTCCACGAGGGGTGTGTGATGAAAAGGCTGATGGAGGAAGCGATTTCTCCAACTTCATGTGTTCCCAAGTTGTGCTTTCCCAGCCAGACCTTGTGTATCGTGTTGTTACTTGAAGCATGAGAGGGAATAGCGAGAGGAGGGGGGGGTGAACATCATTGGAGATAGCAAGAGTGTGTGTGAATGGTGAAACATCTCGATTTAAAGCTTTCGTGACTGCAGGGATTCATCTTCTTGGTTCTTTCGGTAAAGTCATCACGTAGAAGGGAAATAATAAAATATTATATAATTTTATTGTTTTATTTTTATTATTTTATTATTTCCATTCTACGTGACTTTACCGAAAGAACCAAGAAGATGGTGAAACAGCATTCGCAATATTCATCATAATGGTTTTTTGGGTTAGATCGTAAGTATAAATGTGTCGTTGAACCAGCCACCACCCGACACAGCCAATTAGTAAGGTTTGTCAGGTGAACAATATGTGCCAATTCGTTACTAGTTCAGCACACTGGTTGCGTGTTGGAGAGTAAACCCAAAGCAACATTTACAATTGGAGTATCGTCACATTTCACTGGTAATCAGATCCAGCATCATCGGGCAATTTGTCCAGAATTATCTGGTGGTGGCGCGTTAATTGCACATTTATATTTACGCGATCTAACCCCCCAAAAAAAAAACATTGTTACGAGAAATATTCGTCGCAAAAGCCGACGTGTCAAACTGACCATTGGATATACATAGAGAGAGGTTGTGATTCGTGAACATCATTGGAGGTATAGAGAGGTTGTGAATGGTGAACATCATTAGAAATACAGGGGGCACAACAATGGTTTTGGGTATGTGTGTGGGTGTGTGGGGGTATGTGTGTGTGTGTGGGGAGCGGTAGTGTAGCGGTCAGCCCGGCGACTCGAGTTTGATTCCCGCTCACGGCCAACACCGGTGACGATTATCTGAAACGGTCCTGGGCCTCCCCTAGGTCGACTCAGCCTCAAATTAGTACCTGGTGTGGTGTGTAGGAAACATCACCACTGGGGAGACAAAGTCGGCCGGGCGTGGTGCTGGCCACCCACCCCCTCGTGTGCCGTTCTGGCTTTCATAGGTGCTCGCTAACAGCACTTGCCCCAACAGTCTGTTACAACTATTAGGGGGATCTTTGTCTTTGTGTGTGCAGTGTGATGCTATGCATATGGGCGCAGTTGGCCACAAGGGGGCCCCAAATCAATAGAGATAAATAAGTAACTAAAATATTCAGAAAACTATTCAACGAAATCAAGAATTTTTTTCTTACCATGAATGCAAAAAAAAAAAACTTGTTACAAATAGAAAATATATTTTCTGAAAAATACACACAGCGTAACATATAGTAGCTCTACTCGTGGTGTTTGTACTGATACACCAGGCGTTGTTGATAACTGACGTGCGCATGAAAGCAAAATGGCACGACAACTTAATTGTGAGTTATTGTTACATTGAAATATTTTTATTTATTAATAATAACTGTTTCACCTGAGGACGGCTGCTTGCGTTGTGGCCGAAACGTCGTGAGAATTATTTTATTATGTTTTATTTTTATTATTTTATTATTTCCCTTCTACGTGACTTTACCGAAAGAACCAAGAAGATGGTTCCCTCCCTTTGTTAATGCTACCCCCTCACTTTGATGCTGCTAATCCTACATAATGCACGGGCATAATATGACTTTGAAACCCCCCCGCCCACCTCCTACGCATTTCACAAGTAGTGACTAATCCCATATCTGCATTTCCCATGAATATGCTAAATTCCTCTTGATATGCAAATTATTTTGTCAAGGCGCTCTTCTTCCACCTCCAACCCAGTTTAAATATACGCTCCAAGCTTGGCAGTGTCTCATTATTCACCTGAAGACGGCTGCTTGCGTTGTAGCCGAAACGTCGTGAGAATTATTTTGTTATGTTTTATTTTTATTAATTTATTACTTCCCTTCTACGTGACTTTACCTAAAGAACCACGAATAATAACTGTAACTTGTGGTGCAGGATTAACAGCATCAAAGGGCAACTGCAGCTCCCTTTGATGCTGTTAAACCTGCATAATGCACATGCATATGCAGTACTAATCACATTCCTGCATTTCCTATGAATATGCTAAATTCCTCTTGATATGCAAATTCCTTTGTCAATGCGCCCAGCTTTTATATATGCTCCAAGCTCGTGTGCTGTTTCATTCAGACGCTGTCGCCTCGACGGACCTGGTTTTCACCTGAGGCCGGCTGCTTGCGTTGTGGCCGAAACGTCGTGAGAATATTTTATTATGTTTTATTTTTATTATTTTATTACTTCCCTTCTACGCGACTTTACCGAAAGAACCAAGAAGATAATACCACTATCTCCATATATATAAAAGGCAAAGATGTGAATACGTGTGTCTGTTCAAAATATTTAGCGTACTTCCCGACATGCAACAAACTTGACATTTGCAATGAGGGTACTTTCCAGACTGTACACCATGCAAACATTATAAAAATACACTTTTTTTGGGGGGGGGGAGCTCAATAATGCATTTATTTTTTGCACGGCAAGTGAGCTGTGACGTCAAATCTGTCATGTGACCCGCACATGTGGAAGCGTAACGCATCTAGTGGTTAGCGCTACGCTGCGCTACGAACCCCGCGACCCGAGTTCGATTCCCGCTCACGGCCACCACCGGTGACGAATATTTGAACCGGTCCTGGGCCTCCCCTAGGTAGACTCAGCCTCAAACGAGTAACTGGTGTGGTGTGTGAACATCGCCACTGGGGAGACAAAGGCGGCCGGGCGTGGTGAATCCAAGTCTCGGGCGAAGCTGGGTAGTAAAGCTAGTAGTGTATATCCTAACATTGTATTATGTACGGAGGTTAAACACAATCATAGTCATTTCAGTCAAGGTGAGTTGGGAGACAGGATTCGGTGGTAGGGGAGGGGGACACAGTCGGCTCTTGAATGGTGAGCCATCATTGGCTGAATGTTCCCGCACCTAAACGCGACGTCGCATGGTCAGGCGTAGGCCGGGTGTTGTAGGCTGCTTTGTCGGGAACACATTCCTGCGGAGGGAGCTGGTAGGAACGTTGGGTTGCTCGGTCAATGGCCTGCAGGGTCAACGGCCAGGGCGTGGTGTATTACGCAAATATGGCCGACTCTGAGGGCGGGCACAAGCCGGCGTGAGTAGGTTAAACGTTTAAGGGCACCACGGGGTGACCAGCCCAGCCCCACCCCGAAAAAGTTAAGGAACAATGTTTTGCGGGTCTGCACTGGGTGAGAGCTACATGTTAACTGAGCCTCTCATACGGTAAAACCTTTGTCTGGGCAAGCGTCATGCACGCTGCCCATACGCGTCTCAGCCGTACAGGTTCTTTCAAGTGGCGATTGCCCGTTCGACCTCCGAATTTCGTTCGACTTCCGGGGCAAAACATGTTCGGAAATATCGTTCGAACACCGATTTGTTCGAGTTCTGGTGCGTTCGATCTCCGAAGTTCTACTGTATATAAAAAAAGTTACTTTAAAAATATATATACATTAAATATTCAGATTATAATTCTGACAGCCGAACCTGTAGCAGTGCGCGGCCGTCATCACCCACTGCGCATCTATGAGCGATCCCCCGCACTTGTGATACCAAGAATTCACTGAGAAGAACAGCACAGACACCTGCATTCACACACGGCCAGAGGCAGGCATGGGAGGAGGGGGGGTGCAGAGAGAAATGTCAACATTCATCACATTTCTTGTATTCTACAGGGGGTGCGAAAGAAGGTTAAGTGATCTTCTTGGTTCTTTCGGTAAAGTCACGTAGAATGGAAATAATAAAATAATAAAACATAATAAAATAATTCTCACGACGTTTCGGCCACAACGCAAGCAGCCGTCAGAGTCATTCAGACGCTGTCTACTAGACAGACCTGCTTTATTACCTACATGGTGACTTTACCGAAAGAACTAAGAGTATGAATCCGTGACGCCGCTTACCTGCCATGGCCACGCATGTGGAGTGGCCTCCTGACCGTTCACAATGCGGCCCCTGGGTGCGGCAGGAGTGCCTTGGACAGCCGAGATGTACGCTGCGGCATGCAGACAAACAAAGACAAAGTTCCACCATAAATTTCGATTTAAAGCTTTCGTGACTGCAGGGATTCATCTTCTTGGTTCTTTCGGTAAAGTCACGTAGAATGGAAATAATAAAATAATAAAAATAAAACATAATAAAATAATTCTCACGACGTTTCGGCCACAACGCAAGCAGCCGTCCTCAGGTGAAGAACAGGTCTGTCGGAAAGACAGCGTCTGAATGAACACCACCAAGCTTGGCAGCGTATATTTAATGGATTCTGGCTCAGCAATCATTGGAAGAAATAAATTAAATTTCGATTTAAAGCTTTCGTGACTGCAGGGATTCATCTTCTTGGTTCTTTCGGTAAAGTCATCACGTAGAAGGGAAGTAATAAAATAATAAAAATAAAACATTATAAAATAATTCTCACGACGTTTCGGCCACAACGCAAGCAGCCGTCCTCAGGTGAAAACCAGGTGTGTCGAGGCGACCATTCAGACGCTGTCGCCTCGACGGACCTGTTCTTCACCTGAGGACGGCTACTTGCGTTGTGGCCGAAACGTCGTGAGAATTATTTTATTATGTTTTATTTTTATTATTTTATTACTTCCCTTCTACGTGATGACTTTACCGAAAGAACCAAGAAGATGAATCCCACCATATAGCCTGAACAGACTGTCGGAGCAAGTTTCGTTAGCGAGTAGCACCTACGAAGGCCAGCATGGCACACGAGGGGTCTGGTGACCAGCACCACGCCCGACCGCCTTTGTCACCCCAGTGGCGATGCTTACACACTGCGCCAGGTACTCATTTGAGGCCGAGTCGACCTAGGGGAGGCCCAGAACTGGTTCAGATGATCTTCACTGGTGCTGGTGGCCGTGAGCGGGAATCGAACTTGGGTCGTAGCCGGGTTCGTCGCGCAGCGTCGCACTAACTGTTATACTACCGCTCCAAACCAAACAAGTACAGACACACGCACAAGCCGCATGGGTGGAAGTTGCGGGGGTGGGGGGCACGGGGAGGGGGGGGGTGAAATGCCCGCCCAAACGGGACACCTTTATTAATTTAATATCAGTAGTTTACAATCATGATCCTAATTAAATTAATTACATGCACCACGTGCTGATTCATAATGTGAGGGACAAAGCGAACCCCCCTGCCCGCCTGCCTATGACGTCACAAACTCCGCCTGTTACGTCACAATGGGGAGTGGGGGGTGGGGACGCTGCAAGCAACATTGCGGAGTTTCGCTGCTTGGGCGTCTCTACGATTCGTACTAAACAAATTAACTCGACTTAGATTTGCAAAAATCGATAACATTAAGAAAAGGTTTTTTTTTATTTTAAGTTGCGCTGATACTTGCATTCTCTTTGTGCTGTTCACCTTTTGGCTTTCTCTGGCTTAGCACGGATAGTGAGACAAGGGCATAAAGCAGGCTGTCTCTGGTGTACGCCAATCAGTTTCAAACACAATGCATACGTAATTATCAGAGCATGTTTTGCCCCAAGTGTGTTTGGTTTATGCAGACTTGATGCCTTGCAAAAGGTTGTTGTTTGAACATATTAACACATTGCCAGAAAGGGTTAAACCTATTATAATTTTTTAATCATCTTGGATAATGTCAAAAAAGGTCCCATATATATATACTGTATATTGTCAACGTTTGATGGACTTAGGACGGCCAGTCAATTAAGAGTCCTACCAGCAAAAGGGTATCATCGGCGATGCCGAAGTGTGTCTGCAGGCAGTACAGGAAGACACAATGTATCGATGGTGTCAAAAGTGGCTGAACATTGACCACGGGGATAGAGAGAAACACGCAAACTGCAAATGTACAACAGGCATCAGGGTCGGAATCGAACCGACGTCCTCTTGTATACCAGGCGCGGTAGTTACATCTCGTCACCGCCGACTCAATATCTAGCAATTCCCTACCGTTGGAATAGATCCTATTCACTTATCCATTGCATGGTAACAGTTCCCATCAACACATACACACCACAAAGACAAAAATCCCCCATATAGCTTTAACAATCGCACTTAGCATTGACAGAAATAAGTATAACCCGTAAAAACAAAGTTTTTCACTCTAAATCCTTATATGCGTGGCGGCTAGAGTCCTCTCGTCCTCTGGCTTGAGATAGCTGCCACCTATGGGTCAGATGATTGTCTGCAGTATTAAACAATTGGTAATGAAATATTTAATTTGTTTTCCCTAAACAGTGTAAAATTTTGGAGAAAAAAAATTCACGAACATTAATTGTCACGCACAACGAGTCTGTGTGCAAAATGTCAGCTCGATTGGATCACGGGAAGTGGGTTAAAAAACGACCGAAAGGTTTGCGCGGTCGTAAGCAAGCAAGCAAGCACGCAAACAAGCGAACTTAATATAAATGATTTAATAAAAGCCTGGCGTTCTCCGTTTGTCCGTCAACTAAATTATAAGAGAGTTTTTTTTACAGATGGCCAGCCCCTCCCAGATGTGGGGATAAAAAGTTGATCCAACATGTTTCCGAAAATTGTCGACCCCTCCCAAAGAAAAAATCACTCCCCCCCCCCCCACCCAAAAAATAATTTTGTAGGCAGTTAGTATCTGCACACATTGGGCGGGGAGAGAAGCAGACATCAGTGGGGGCAACGGGCGTAGTACATGTTGTTCACGTCGTTTATTGTGAAAATTCGGTTTTATTTTGGTGATTTTCAAAAAGTGTATTGGTTTAGCCATGTTTGTTTGTTGTAGTACAGCGTTAGACTGATGGCCTTAATCTAAGTTGTCTTGTGGTTGTTGTTGTTGTTGTTTGACTTGCATCCCATTGGGATTTTTGCACACAGTGTTGGTGTACGGTGATTTTTTTGCAATATTTTGCTGTCTTTTCTTGGATTTTCTGTTTGCACTTAGTCACATATTCACTGAGTAATAGAGTCACTCACTCACTCACTCAGTCACTCACTCACTCACTCAGTCACACAGTCACTCAGTCACACAGTCACTCAGTCACACAGTCACTCAGTCACACAGTCGTCACTCAGTCACTCACTCAGTCACTCAGTAATACACTCAGTCACTCAGTCACATATTCACTCAGTAATACAGTCACTCACTCACACAGTCAGTCACTCAGTCAGTCACTCAGTCACTCAGTCACTCAGTCAGTCACACAGTCACTCAGTCACTCAGTCACTCACTCAGTCACACAGTCACTCACTCAGTCACACAGTCACTCAGTCACACAGTCACTCAGTCACTCACTCAGTCACTCACTCACTCAGTCACACAGTCACTCAGTCACACAGTCACTCAGTCACTCACTCACTCACTCAGTCACACAGTCACTCAGTCACACAGTCACACAGTCACTCAGTCACTCACTCAGTCACTCACTCACTCAGTGACACAGTCACTCAGTCACAATTTCACTTTAAGATGTTTTCTTGTTCATGTTTTTGTTTCTTGCTTGTTGCGGTTGCACCCGATTCAAGAGCCGAATGGCTCACAGGGCTCTATACCTAATACCTGAACTTGAATTTGAGAAGCCCTCCACAGGGAGGGAGTTGTGCCGATGCCCTCACGCCTGATGATGATGATGCTGCCTCATCGACAGCAACACCCCCTCTGCAAATTAGTCAAGTACTGCACAGCGGTGAACCCGAGGCTACCGAATGCACAGCAGCGTGTTTCGTGAGTCCCCTCCCTCTCGCCCGGAGCTACGACTTGGGTTCGGGGACAGGAGCCGTCCCGTGTCTGAAATCAACGCCGGAGTGCCAAAGCTAGCGGCTCAGGACCAACCGGTCTCTCCGCATGTCACGGGTTGGCTTCAGGGGAGCCCGCCTGCCCGCCGACCTATAAGGACACTTAAACATCTTCTTGGTTCTTTCGGTAAAGTCACGTAGAATGGAAATAATAAAATAATAAAAATAAAACATAATAAAATAATTCTCACGACGTTTCGGCCACAACGCAAGCAGCCATCCTCAGGTGAAGAATAGGTCTGTCTTCTCGACAGACCTATTCTTCAACAAGTTTTTCACTCTAAATCCTTTATATGCGTGGCGGCTAGAGTCCTCTCGTCCTCTGGCTTGAGATGGCTGCCACCTATGGGTCAGATGATTGTCTGCCACCATTAAGCAATTGGTAATTAAATATAAAAAAAAATTCCCTAAACAGTGTAAAATTTTGAAAAAAATTTCACGAACATTAATTGTCTCGCACAACGAGTCTGTGCGCAAAATGTCAGCTCGATTGGATCACGGGAAGTGGGTTAAAAAACGACCGAAAGATTTGCACGGTCCTAAGCGCGCAAGCAAGTGAACTTAATATAAAGGATTTAAAAAGAGCTACTACATAGCTCAACTGGGGATAACTTACCCAATGGCAAAACAAAATAGTTCAAACGTGTCAGGCACTGTGAGTGGACGCGAGAGCGGAATGCGGCCTGAAAATATAGAGACACAGACAAAGAGAGATACAGAGAGAGAGGAGGAGTTCAAGTTTAAGTTCATTTATTAGATGTAGCCCTGTGAGCCATTCGGCTCTTGAATCGGGTGCAACCGCAACAAGCAAAAAACAAAAACATCTTAAAGTGAATATGTGACTGAGTGCAAACAGAAAATCCAAGAAAAGACAGCAAAATATTGCAGAAAAAGCACCGTACACCAACGCTGTGTGCAAAAATCCCAGTGGGATGCAAGTCAAACAACAACAACCACAAGACAACTTAGATTAAGGCCATCAGTCTAACTCTGTACTACAACAACACAAACATGGCTAAACCAATACACTTATCGAAATCACCAAAATAAAGCCATGAAACCAATGAAACAGTGATCATAGGAACTGTGACCGATTTTTCACAATTAACGACGCAAACAACATGTATACATGTACACGAGGTTATGGATTCGATCCCGACCCTGACCAATGCCTGCTGACCGTGGTCGCGTGGATTTTTCTCCGGGTCCTCCGGTTTTCTCATTCCACATTTAGAATCGATGACTGTTTGGCTGCTTCTATAAATGCCCAAGTGATGATGATGATGAGCCACTTTGTTTAGCAGCTATCATTTGTGATGGCCCGATCACTTCTGTGCAATGTCTTACACCACTGCTGTTGGGGCGCCATGTTGGCTCGGAGATGTTAACTACCTCGCCTGGTATACAGCAGGTCGTGAGTTCCATCCCAACCATGATACCTGCTGCTGCTGCATATTTGGAGTTTGCGTCTCTATCATCATAATCACAGTGGCTAGGAGATGTTAACTACCTCGCCTGGTATACAGCAGGCCGTGAGTTCCATCCCAACCATGATGCCTGCTGCTGTATATTTGGAGTTTGCGTCTCTATCATCATCATTATCATCACAGGAACTGTGACGGAATTTTCACAGGAGGAGGAGGAGGGGGGGATATCACTAACCTCCAGCGACGAAGATCATCAGGACAATTGACGCAGCTTGAGTCGCCATGGTTCTCGAAGTTCTTCCAATCTTGTGGACGGTGGTGGGAGATTTCAACTCCAACTCGCTTCTAATGAACACGCGGAGAGAAGTCGAATGGAAGCACCACTTGCACGCACGCGAGCTGAGACGACGCGTCTTGGGGACTGCCATGCGCCACCTTGCACCATCGCTATTTGAAGCAAAATTTCTCACCGCCTAGATATGCGGAAATAAAGAACACTCGACGCGTAGAGGGGGTGGTGAAAAAAACAATAAGATGTTAACGAAACACCGCCACTACCACCACCACCGTCCCCTGTGGGTTTTTCAATAGTTGGATTCGGATTATCTTAGGGGCCGTCCATAAATGACGTCACGCGAGTTTGGACGATTTTTGACCCCCCACCCCCCCAAATTTTTTTTAACAAAAACATTCTTCAAATCGCTTTAAACTATTGTGATTGCAGTGCGTATTTAATGTGGCGCTACACTCCGATGTTGTAGGAGAAAATATTCATCTATTTCATTAAGTAGAACGTAAATTTCGATTTAAAGCTTTCGTGACTGCAGGGATTCATCTTCTTGGTTCTTTCGGTAAAGTCACGTAGAAGGGAAGTAATAAAATAATAAAATTAAACATAATATTATAATATTATATTATAATATTATATTATAATAATATACTTTAATATGTTTTATTTTTATTATTTTATTACTTCCCTTCTACGTGACTTTAATAATGAGAATTAAACATAATATTATATTATAATATTACTTTATTATGTTTTATTTTTATTATTTTATTACTTCCCTTCTACGTGACTTTACCGAAAGAACCAAGAAGATAAGTAGAACGTGTTGTCTATATTCATTTAAAGTTGCGCATTTTGATGTAACGTCACATTTCTCAAACCTCCCCCCTAGGTGCGTGACGTCATTTAGGACGGCCCCTTAACCACTGAGGGAAAAAAAAAATACCCCGGTAGCTGAGCATGCAAATTATGATAGTGACGAGGAACTTCGCGTGACGATGACGATTATGCAAGTTTGGATGACTGCCTAATGGCCGCGGGCGCTGCTTTTCACCGAGCACACCTGTGACCACGTGGTCGCGCGCGGCCTGACAACTTCTCAAAAGGGCCGTCAACAACGACAATACGAGGGGAGAAGGACAACAAACTACGGGTCTCTGTGTGAGTCTATGGGTCTCTGTGTGAGTCTATGGGTCTTTGTGTGAGTCTATGGGTCTCTGTGTGAGTCTGTAGGTCTTTGTGTGAGTTTATGGGTCTGTGTGTGAGTTTATGGGTCTGTGTGTGAGTTTATGGGTCTGTGTGTGAGTCTATGGGTCTCTGTGTGAGTCTGTAGGTCTTTGTGTGAGTCTGTGGGTCTTTGTGTGAGTCTATGGGTCTGTGTGTGAGTCTATGGGTCTGTGTGTGAGTCTATGGGTCTCTGTGTGAGTCTATGGGTCTCTGTGTGTGAGTCTATGGGTCTGTGTGTGAGTCTATGGGTCTCTGTGTGAGTCTATGGGTCTCTGTGTGAGTCTATGGGTCTCTGTGTGTGAGTCTATGGGTCTCTGTGTGAGTTTATGGGTCTGTGTGTGAGTCTATGGGTCTCTGTGTGTGAGTCTATGGGTCTCTGTGTGAGTCTGTAGGTCTTTGTGTGAGTCTGTGGGTCTTTGTGTGAGTCTATGGGTCTGTGTGTGAGTCTATGGGTCTCTGTGTGAGTCTATGGGTCTTTGTGTGAGTCTATGGGTCTGTGTGTGAGTCTATGGGTCTCTGTGTGAGTCTATGGGTCTCTGTGTGAGTCTATGGGTCTCTGTGTGTGAGTCTATGGGTCTCTGTGTGAGTTTATGGGTCTGTGTGTGAGTCTATGGGTCTCTGTGTGTGAGTCTATGGGTCTCTGTGTGAGTCTATGGGTGTCTGTGTGTGAGTCTATGGGTCTCTGTGTGAGTATGTAGGTCTCTGTGTGAGTCTATGGGTCTCTGTGTGAGTCTATGGGTCTCTGTGTGAGTCTATGGGTCTCTGTGTGAGTCTGTAGGTCTCTGTGTGAGTCTATGGGTCTGTGTGTGAGTCTATGGGTCTCTGTGTGAGTTTATGGGTCTATGTGTGAGTCTATGGGTCTCTGTGTGAGTCTATGGGTCTCTGTGTGAGTCTATGGGTCTCTGTGTGAGTCTATGGGTCTGTGTGTGAGTCTATGGGTCTGTGTGTGAGTCTATGGGTCTCTGTGTGAGTATATGGGTCTCTGTGGGAGTCTATGGGTCTGTGTGTGAGCCTATGGGTCTCTGTGTGAGTCTATGGGTCTGTGTGAGTCTATGGGTCTCTGTGTCGATGGCTCTCTGTGTGAGTCTATGGGTCTGTGTGTGAGTCTATGGGTCTCTGTGTCGATGGCTCTCTGTGTGGGTCTATGGGTCTCTGTGTGAGTCTGTAGGTTTTTGTGCGAGTCTATGGGTCTCTGTGTGAGTCTATGGCTCTCTGTGTCGATGGCTCTCTGTGTGAGTATATGGGTCTCTGTGTGAGTATATGGGTCTCTGTGTGAGTCTATGGCTCTCTGTGTGAGTCTATGGGTGTCTGTGTGAGTCTATGGTTCTCTGTGTAAGTCTATGGGTCTCTGTGTGAGTATTTGGGTCTCTGTGTGGGTCTATGGGTATCTGTGTGAGTCTATGGGTCTCTGTGTGAGTCTATGGGTCTCTGTGTGAGTCTACAGATCTCTGCGTGAGTTTATGGGTCTCTATCTGAGTCAATGGGTCTCTGTGTGAGTCTATGCGTCTCTGTGTGAGTCTACGGATCTCTGCGTGAGTGTATGGGTCTCTGTGTGTGTTTATGTACGTTCAGTATGATTGTCGAACTTCTTTCGCACCGTATGTAGCCAGCCGTGCTAACCAGGGGTGCGGTCAAGGTATCCCTAAAGTGCAACAGTATCGCTTCCACATCACATTGACAGTCATTCAAACGTACAGCAGATGTGCTCATGAGTTCCCTGAAAAGTATTCTTAGGTTTTTTCGGTAAAGTCACGTAGGTAAAACATCAACATTAATGAAAATAAAATCAAACAAAAAATCACGACGTTTCGGAGGCAACACAAGTCTCCGTCATCAGGTGGGACCGTCACAGCCAGATTTGCTGCATCAAGTGAGGCAATGATTCAACTCGCTTTTAAGGGATTACATCTTGAATCATTGCCTCACTTGATGCAGCTAATCTGGCTGTGACGGTCCCACCTGATGACGGAGACTTGTGTTGCCTCCGAAACGTCGTGATCTTTATTTTATTATATTTTTATTCATTTTAATATTTTTTACCTACACGGTGACTTTACCGAAAAAACCCAAGAATTTGAATCCTTGCAGTCACGAAAGCTTCAAATCTAGAATTCCCTGAAAAGGTTTTCTAATGATTTTTTAAAAATATTTGTTCTTGATAAGATATTTGCATTGTGAAAGGTGATCGCGGTGTATGTTTTCGATGACTTTACCGAAAGAACCAAAGAGTTTAAGGGGCCGTCCATAAATGACGTCACGCACCTGGGGGGGGGGGGTGTCAGACATTTGTGACGATGTGTGACGAGGGGGGGGGTGAGAAATGTGACGTCACATCAAAATGCGCAACTTTAAATGGATACAGACAACACGTTCTACTTAATTAAATAGACTTTGTAATAAATGTTTACTCCTACAACATCAGAGTGCAGCGCCACATTCAATACGCACTACAATGACAACAATAGTTTAAAGCGATTTGAAGCATGTTTTTATATTTTTTTTGGGGGGGGGGGGCAGAGCTTTGTGACCTCATATTTGAGGGGGGGGTCTGACTTTTTGTGACGTCGTGTGACGATTGGGGGGGCGGTCAAAAATCGTCCAAAATCGCGTGACGTCATTTATGGACGGCCCCATATACTCTCAAAACAGTTCCACATTGTTATTCTTGGAAAAGTCTGTTGCAAGTCACGTGCTTGATACAAACAAATATGTTGATCCGGTTAAAATGAAATCCACGTGATCGTCTCCTCTACAGCGCAGTTCCTATGATCTGCACTGTTTCATTGCTTTCATGGCTTTATTTTGGTGATTTTCGAAACGTTTTTTGGGTTTGGCCATGTTTGTGTTGTTGTAGTACAGAGTTAGACTGATGGCCTTAATCTAAGTTGTCTTGTGGTTGTTGTTGTTTGACTTGCATCCCACTGGGATTTTTGCACACAGCGTTGATGTACGGTGTTTTTTTTTTGCAATATTTTGCTGTCTTTTCTTGGATTTTCTGTTTGCACATAGTCACATATTCACTCAGTAATACAGTCACTCACTCACTCAGTCACTCACTCACTCAGTCACTCACTCACTCAGTCACACAGTCACTCAGTCAATCACTCAGTCACTCAGTCACTCAGTCACATATTCACTTTAAGATGTTTTCTTGTTCATGTTTTTTGTTTGTTGCGGTTGCACCCGATTCAAAAGCCGAATGGCTCACAGGGCTACACCTAATACATGAAACTTGAAACTTGAAACTACAGTACAGTAGTTGCAATCCTTTACAACAGTGGGGCGGACTTTGAATGATGTTGATTGGCGTGACTGCTGTCATCCACTTAGTGGGTCGAGTCTTCTGCTGGGCGGGAGAAAGAAAGTAGTTAGCACTGAGCATGCGCATCATCGATCGGTAGATCATTAGCATTCGTTCTAAATAGAGAGAGTAGCAATCTAAATAGTGAGTTGTGCTTCATTTTGAGCGATTTATACGATCTTTTATTTTGTGAGTTTTAATTTATGAAACTGCGATGTCAGACGAACGGAAGCATCGTGTTGTTTTAACTTCAAGTTCGTTTGTGGACTTTTGTATTAAACAAGTGTGGCATGGATCACTCTTTTAATTACGTCCTTGTGCAGCAAGGGAGTGAAGTGTGGTTCTGTGAAAGTCCTGATGTGCTGTGCAGTGCATCAACGCATGTGTGTACAGCAGCATGTGATGACTGAGTTGGGCCTGTAGGTGGCTGGCAGGGTTATTGAATAACCGCACGTGTAAACCAGCCACGTGGTTGATGGCGACTCGGAAGAATTGCTGTGTGTGACACGTGCTGTTGCATTTTACAGGTAAAGGACCCAAAGGTTGTTTTTGATCGTTATATAAATGTTCTAGACTTGTTCTAGACTTGTTCTAGACGTTAAGCTTGGCTTTGAATTGTTCGTTTGTGATATATGCAATTAGAGGCGTTTTAGCACTGTGCATTGTAAAGGGATGACGCACTGTAATTAGTTACTGTCATTGTAATTCTCTAACTCTAATACTGTTTAGTCTATAACCATTGTTGTATATGTTGGTTATGAAATTTTTTATAAAAATAATAAAAATTAATAATTTTCCGAAAAATGCGCAAATCGCATTAATTATGATAGTGTGTGTATTAACATGCATAAATTATGATAATGCGTGTAATTATATGCATAAATTATGATAATCGTAGTAATTTATGCGGATGCTTACGATTATGTTAATGTGTGCAGTTATGTTAATTAGGCTTGGTTTCGT